GTAAGTATCAGCTCCGTAGCTGTCCTAGAGCTCGAGTTATGCACAGAAAACCGTCACAGCGTGTCAAGATGACCCAAAACGGCCGATCCCGCCTGTGTGCTTTCTGGCAATTATATATACCCTATCAACCTGAGATTAAGACGGCGAGCGGGAATACGATCCAATATCACGGGAAAAAATACTAGAGCTCAAACGAAAGGTTGAATTTCGAGAACAAAATTTTCAACCGAGCAAAAGGTCACCAAAAGGTCCGTCGAGACTGGGCGCCGGCGGTAAACCGTCAACCTTTCTTACCGCCGGGAGACTCGTAGAGCTTCCTTTCCATATATTATGTCCAAAGAAGTAGCAGGGGGCGAATATTTGTTCAGCCCGAGCGCTGATAGCAGACTGATCTCAGGCGTCTAGATACTATTGCCGCTGATAATTCCCTTCCCATTGTTGTGCTGAACAGATCCAGCCAAGCGGCGCCTCATGATGTCCGTCTCATTTATGTGCCAAAGAGCTCTCAAGTTAGGTGAATAAATTCACCGTCATTTCGAAGAAAAACCGGTCCAATACGAATAGTTTTGCGACCTAGCTCGAGTCGCAGACTGAGTTCAGAGCTCTAGGTGCTTCAGCCGAACGCGCCTGTGATTCTGAATCGATTATGTGTGCGTACAAGCTCTGTAGCTATGCTAAGCTCGAGTTAAGTACAGAACACCGACAGCGCCTGTTTAGAGAACTCGACGAATACAAATGGTTTCGCGGACCTGGCTCGAGTAGCAGACCTAGTCCAGACCTCTCGATGCAACAGACAAGCGCGCCTGATGATTATGAATCGGTTTCTGTGAGTACCAGCTCTGAAGCGTTTCTACAGCCCGAGTTAAGTACTGAAAACCGACAGCACCTGTCAAGATCACTCGAAGAGTACGAATAGTTTCGCGGACCTAGCTCGAGTAGCAGACCGAGTTCAGACCTCTGGATGCAACAGACGAACGCGCATGATGATTCTGAATTGGCTACGTATGCGTATCAGCTATGTAAATCTCCTACAGCTCGAATTAAACACCGAAAATCGACAGTATCCGCCAACAAAATTCGTAGAATACGAATAGCTTCGCGACCTAGCTCGAGTAGTAGACCGAGTTCAGACCCCTAGATGCTAGAGACAGACGCGCCTGATGATTATGAATCGTTTTCTATGAATACTAGCTCTGTAGCTCTCCTACAGCCCGAGTTAAGTACAGAAAACCGACAGCACCTGTCAAGATGACTCGAATAATGAAATAGTTGCGCGGACCTAGCTCGAGTAGCAGACCGAGTTCAGACCTCTAGATGCAACAGACGAACGCGCCTGATGATTCTGAATCGGTTTCTGTGAGCATCAGATCTGTAGCTCCTCTACAGCTCGAATTAAGTACAAAAAAAAACCGTCAACGCGTGTCAAGATGACTCCAAACGGCCGATCCCGCCGCATCGCTTTTTGGCAGCAAAAAGAACCCGATCGAGCTGAGATCAAGACGGCGAGCGGGAATAAGATCGAATATGGTGGGAAGAAATACTAAAGCTAAAACGAATTGTTGAATTCCGAGAACAAAATTTTCAACCGACCAAAAGTCAGCAAAAGGTCCGTCGAGATTTTTCTTGCCAACTAGCTCTCCAGCGCCCCGGAACTGGCGCCGGCGGTAAACCGTCAACCTGGTATTTTGCGTCTTTGCTGGGACCATCTTGGCCACTGAGGCCAAGTCCTACAAAGTCTCAGGCGAATCAGGGCCTCTTATTCGTCACGCAGGCAGTCAGCTCTTATTACACAACAGTAAAACTGGAGGAATAAAGAGAACCAAAAGCATGCGAAGACACGATCAATCGCAAAGCACACAGAAGAACATACAACGATCAAACAAGACAGTGGAGCAGTTAGAATATACAAGAAGAAACAGAATGGGAAGGAATAAAGTGCGACTTATCAATGCGAATGAACAAAGAAGTTTTGCACAACCTGTGGGAGCACAACACATATACGCTCCGCCGCTGATCACTCAGTATCTGTCACAGACAACCCTCCAACAGTGAGAACACTGATGAGGCGAAACTAATACTTCTGACTGAGGGGGTGCCAGGCGGACCTGGCTACGTCATGATCCTGCAAACCAAATTGAACAATATGCAATCCACTCAAGGCAGATCTGAAAGAACCGAGACTTACAAGCACCACTCTAAGAAGTGAAGAACGAATTAGCGTACAATACTCATCAGTGCAATGACTGAACTCCACTCGAGGCGAAGACAAAGTAACTCTCGGATAGCTGAATGTCTCATGCAAAGAAGGAGGATGCAATGATATCATGATGAAATAAGTGGGGCTCCTGCCCTATACACTCCTGAAATATGTCGTTGCCCGAGCGGGCAATTTCACGTGCATAAACATGTGGGTTGAATATCGCAAAGATACTGAAGTACAATGAATTTTGAACTCCACTCGAGGCGAAGAAAAGTAACTCTCGGATAACTGAATGTCTCATGCAAAGAAGGAATATGCAATCATATCATAACAGGCGAAGATCCAATATGAATTGCCACCACCAAAACACAACAAGAAATAGATATGAGAGGCCGACAATGACAAGCGGGATGTACAGGGAGATGGGAGATGGGCTCCCTAATCATGTTCAAAGCTGCCCTATCGTTTGCCTTTGCCTCTGCCTTTGCGGCTACCTCTAGAGCTCCCACCGTTATCGGGAGAAACTCGAATGCTTTGGGAAGATTCGGGAACCAACTTTTGATGTCCAGTCTTGGCTATCACATCCGAAGCGACACGGACAGACGACGACCCCGACGGAGACGCGATTCGTCCACGTGGCGACGTAATTCTGAGCTCTTGGGGCTCCCACATTTGCTGTAGTCTCCGGGTGTCTGCTGCGAGTCTCCGCGGGTCTGCGCGACTGGCACTCTCGAAGAGTCCGTCTGGAACAAAACTGAAACAATCGACAATGTACCCTGGAGCTTTAAACCTGGCCTCCTCGGCACGGTCCATTTTCCCCGTCACGAAACGGTGAGATTTGAGACAATCCAAAAGTTCTCCCAGAAACGACTGAACATGATCCGTGAGGTTAAACAAAGTATGGAACCAAAATGCTACATGATGTTTTGGGATGGTCATTGGCTCTGTCATGAGGTCTACGGAAAATTCCAGCCCCTGGATTAAATACTGCAGCGCAATCTGGCTGGTGAACCCCTTCTGGGCAGTGCTCCTGTCAATCCATGTTTTGACGGCGTCCTGGAAAGTGAACTGAGTTTGCACACAGGCGTCCTTTAAAATGAACTGAGTTTGCACGCCAGCATCCATTGAAGTGAAAAGAGTTTGCACGCAGGCATCCTTCCAAGTGAACTGAGTTTGCACGCCAGCATCCATTGAAGAAACGGTTGGGGGATCCGTGAAGGCGTCCACTTCCGCACCTGTGGGAGAAAGATCCATTGAAGAAACGGTTGGGGAATCTATTGAAGAATCCTGAGTTCTCATGTCAACATGCTTTCTCTCCTTTAGCGGCAAATGGGTGGTAGAGAAGGCCAATGCAGCCAACAACTCATCAACCTGTTCAGCTGACTCTGCCGGCACCTCCATCACAACAGTCTCGTAGTCAACAAGTCCTTGTAGTGACAAGGGAACGGGGGATGTTGATCGAACCCATCCCAGATGGCAGGCCCGAGCTCGACGCATACGCCTGGATGTGAGGCTCCGCACGTGAGGCATCAGTCACAATCAAAGCCCAATTCAGTCAGAAATGTGGCAACGAAGCAAAGAGAATAGATGAAGGAGCAAGTACAATTGTCACACAATCAAGTCAATGTGCAACCCACACTCGAAAGATCACAGAGGACACCTGAGAGATCACAACAATGATACACTGCAAATTGAACAATATGCAATCCACTCAAGGCAGATCTGAAAGAACCGGGACTTACGAGCACCACACTAGGCAGCGAGGGACAAGTCAGCGTATACAAATTGCCACCACCAAACCGCAACGATAAATAAATATGAGAGGCCAACAATGACAAGCAAGATATAAAGGAGATGGGCAGTTGCGTAAGCAGAGCAAAACAACACGCTAGCTCAACGTTCACCTTCGCGGAGGTTCCCCAGGCAGGAGAAAATGAACGTTCGCGGAGCCTTGAGCCTTGAGCCTTGAGCCGTGAACCTCGCAGAGCTCCTCGCACGCGTAAGAGTGCTCAGATTGAAAGCAGACAGCTTCTCGGAGCATTTCTAGAAAAACGTCGAATTTGCATTTTCCGGTGTGAACGTGATGTCGGTTGCTCCTAATTTTCCGATCGTAAAACTGGCTCTAGAGAGCTGAGCTGCTCTGGCAACAAGTATTATATGCCAATGTTCGGCGTAAAAATCTGCTTTCTCAAAATGAATGGTCAAATATTTTTCAAATACCAGCAAAACCGACCCAAAGTTGCCACAGTGTCTCTTCTGGTCGGGTCGACCAACTGGGCGCCAGCGGTAAACCATCAACCTTTCTTACCGCCGGGAGACTCGTAGAGCTTCCTGACCATATATTATGTCCAAAGAATTAGCAGAGAACGAATAGATTTTCAGCCCGAGCGCTGACAGCAGACTGATCTCAGACGTCTAGTGATATCCCATTGCTGTGCTGAACAGTCCTATTGCTCATCTGCAGCGTGTAGAAAATATCGTTAGGGAGAAAGTAGTACGAATCCGTGTTTGGCGTCTGCGCTCACTTCAGACCCAAACCAAGCGTCTAGACACTTCGCGCCTCATGATGTCCTTCTGATTGTTCGGCCGCTCGAGTTCAGTGAAGAAATTCACCATCATTTGGAAAAAAATATCGGTCGAATACGAATAGTTCTGTGAACCTAGATCGGGTAGCAGACCGAGTTCAGACCTCTCGATGCAACAGACGAACGCTCCTGATGCTTCTGGATCAGTTTCTGTGCGTACCAGCTCTGTAGCTCCCCTACAGCCCGAGTTCAATACATAGAATGGACAACACCTGTCAAGATGACTCGAAGAATACGAATAGCTTTGCGGACCTAGCCCGAGGAACAGACCCAGTTCAGACCTCTGGATACAACAGACGAACGCGCCTGATGATTCCGAACCATTCATGTGCGCATCAGCTCTGTAGCTCGTGTACAGCCCGAGTTGCGTGCGAAAACCGCCAGCAGCTCTCAAGATGACTCGAACGATACGAATAGTTTCGCGGGCCTAGCTCGAGTAGCAGACCGAGTTCAGACCTCTGGATGCAACGAACGAACGCGCCTAATTATTATGCATCGGTTTCTGTGCGCATCAGCTCTGTAGCTCCCCTAGAGCTCGAGATGAGTACAGAAAACCGACAGTCCCTGTCGAGATGATTCGAGCGATACGAACAGTTTTGCGGACCTATCTCGAGTAGCAGACCGAGTTCAGACCTCTGCATGCGACAGGCGGACGCGTCTGATGTCTCGGAATCGGTTTCTGTAATTACCAGCCCTGTAGCCCCCCTACAGCCCGAGTTAACTACAGAAAACCGACAGCATCTCTGAAGATGACTCGAACAATACGAATAGTTTCGCGGACCTAGCTCGAGCAGCAGACCGAGTTCAGACCTCTGGATTCAACAGACAAGCGCGCCTGATGATTCTGAATCGGTTTCTGTAAGCATCAGCTCTGTAGCTGTCCTACAGCTCGAGTTAAGTACAAAAAACCGACAACGCGTATCAAGATGACTCGAAACAGCCGATCCCGCCTGTGTGCTTTTTTGGGAGTAAAAGGTACCCGATCGAGCTGAGATCAAGACGGCGAGCGGGAATCATATCGAATATCACGGGAAAAATACTAGAGCTCAAACGAATTGTTGAATTCCGAGAACAAACTTTTCAACCGACCAAAAGTCAGCAAAAGGTCCGTCGAGATTGTTCTTGCCAACTAGCTCTCCAGCGCGCCGGAATTACTGGGCGCCGGCGGTAAACCGTCAACCTTTCTTACCGCCAAGGGACTCGTAGAGCTTCCTGACCATATATTATGTCCAAAGAATTAGCAGAGAAGAAATAGTTTTTCAGACCGAGCGCTGGCAGCAGATTGATCTCAGGCGTCTAGTGATATCCCATTGCTGTGCTGAACAGTTTTATAGCTCATCTGCAGCGTGTAGAAAATACCGCTAAAGAGAAAGTAGCAGAGTACGAATCCGTGTTTGGCGTCTGCGCTCACAACAGACCCAAACCAAGCGTCTAGACGCTTCGCGCCTCACGATGTCCTTCTGATTTTTCGGCCGCTCGAGTTCAGTGAAGAATTGCACCATCATTTGGAAAAAAATATCGGTCGACTACAAATATTTGTGTGAACCTAGCTGGGGTAGCAGACCGAGTTCAGACCTCTCGATGCAAAAGACGAACGCTCCTGATGCTTCTGGATCCGCCTCTGTGCGCACCAGCTCTGTAGCTCCCCTACAGCCCGAGCTCAATACATAGAATGGACAACATCTGTCAAGATGACTCGAATAATACGAATAGGTTTGCGGACCTAGCCCGAGTAGCAGACCTCTGGATGCAACAGATGAACGCGCCTGATAATTTCGAATTAGTTTATGTGCGCATCAGCTCTGTAGCTCTTCTACAGCCCGAGCTACGTGAGGAAACCAACAGCAGCTCTCAAGATGACTCGAACGATACAAAAGGTTTGGCGGGCCTAGCTCGAGTAGCAGACCGAGTTCAGAGCTCTGGATGCAACGAACGAACTCGCCTGATTATTCTGCATCGATTTCTGTGCATATCAGCTCTGTAGCTCCCCTCGAGCTCGAGTTAAGTACCGAAAACCGACAGCCCCTGTCGAGAAGACTCGAACGATACGAATAGTTTCGCGGACCTAGCTCGAGCAGCGGAGCGAGTTCAGACCTCTGGATTCAACAGACAAGCGCGCCTCATGATTCTGAATCGGTTCTGTAAGTATCAGCTCTGTAGCTGTCCTACAGCTCGAGTTAAGTACAAAAAACCGACAACGCGTATCAAGATGACTCGAAACAGCCGATCCCGCCTGTGTGCTTTTTGGCAGTAAAAGGTACCCGATCGAGCTAAGATCAAGACGGCGAGCGGGAATAAGATCGAATATCATTGGAAAAAATACTAGAGCTCTAACGAATGGTTGAATTTCGAGAACAAAATTTTCAACCGACCAAAGATCAGCAAAAGGTCCGTCGAGATTTTTCTTGCCAGCTAGCTCTCCAGCGCGCCGGAACTGGGAGCTCGCGGTAAACCGTCAACCAAGTTTTTTTCCGGCTTGCGGTCCGACCACGGGGCCCTACAAGGGCGGTCGGCTTGGTGCAGCCATCCCCTGTGGGCTGGATGTACCCTGAAAAACGTGACACTCTTGGAGTATCTTGCAAGCAGAGCGGGCAAGTCTCGAAGCGGCCTCAAGCTCACACTGAGTAACCGTCGCATCGGGAAGCAGGCCAAAAGCCTCCTCCGCCAACGGACGGGTAAACGTGTGCAGGCAATCACTAACCCCTTCCCCAGATTGCTCACTGATGAACTCACCGTCTAGCCACCATCCTCCCCCAGCACCTGCACTGCTAACGCCACCGTCGTACGCACCACGGATTGTGATCAACGTTTCAGTATTATTTATATATTATTGAATACTTCTGTACCTCGATTGTAATGGTAGATGTCTGATTTCCCAAGTCAGTCGGTCGGCACGGTCATTGCCTTCACGATAGTGATGACGCCACATATCATATCCTGTGGCTGGGCCCTGCAGCTTAAAATCTCGACAGGCGTCGTCTAACAGATCAATAACCTCCCCCACCTGAGATCGGTATATATTGTTGTTGTAATTCCACCATCCCCTCATCCAGTTGGTTATCAGCATGGAGTCACCTAACAGCTCCATCGCAACTCCGCCTCGTCGCTCGAAGCGGACCTCATTTTCAAAGTTGGCCGCGAGGCGCCTGGCAATACGATCAAGCGCCGCCTGTGTATACTGTTTGTCCTCCTCCTTCACCTCCTCTCTGTGTATCTGACCTCACTCCCCCTTAAAGATAAAGCCCTCCGTCATATGTGAAAATCCCGCCGCACACAGTCGGGCCGTAGCAAACTCGCGAAAACCACGTTCGCTCCAGTCGAGATGGTGCCACCAGTTCACCAGCAGCCTGCACAAATAGGAAGTCCCACGACCTGTAGCCTGTAGGTAACCTCCTCCCTGTTAGTCTGGTTATCTCCGTCCCCCTCCCACTTGCAGTAATCATAGCCTCCCTCCTCTCCGTCCACTCCCCCAGTCCACGCAACATCGCAACACGTGAAAGAACAAAGGGCCTTGACACGTCATCCGACACAGGTGGCGCTGGTGTCGGAGCCTCACCAGGCTGGGTGGTCGAGAGCCTCTGTCGTTGGCCCCGCACCGTCTCACGGAAGATCCCCGCACGCTGACGCCGATTGTTATGTGCCTCCTCCCCCGACGCGGGCGCTAACATAGGTGCACACGTATGCATACAAGCGAACGATGCCACATCCTTTGCCCAGTCAAACAGCTTTCTGAGAAATCTGTGGACCAATGATTGGAAGCCGTACCTAGCAAAGTGATGGCGACCATAGCGCAGCCGCCTCTGAGTATACACGGTCCAATCCTCACTCGCCTTCTTAAGAAGACCACCTATGATCGCCAGCAGTTGACCCTCCCACGCATATAACTTCTGAATAGTACCCCCATCCGCCGCCATCCCTTCACATCCATACAATGCAATGGACTGCACCCGTGCAATGTAACGCATATAACGATCACGCATAGGTAGCTGTCTACAGCGATAGAACTGCACATCACACATCCACGCACGCCTGGCACGCTGTAAATGACAGGGTGAGTCCCGATGCTCACTCCAGTCATCAAAGAGTTCCACTCCCAGAGCCGACATCTGACGAAGACGTGGCAGGACCAACTCCTCACCATACTCTGGGACCCACACACGAAGCTCGGTATCAGAACAGCGAGGCCAGCCCCCACACAAGAGGTATCCAAGCAATGAGGGTTTCCACCGCAGGCCCGCCTGGGCCAACGGCACCGTGAGCATAGACATCATCTCCCGAAGTTCGTCCAGGGACCGTGCACACACGTACAAATTGTCCGCCCACAGAGCATGTGCAATCCTCCTCCTACCTCCACTCAGGGGGGTCTCCAATTCATAACCATAGTCATTCTCCACCCACTGCCGTACCACCTTCTCCCATAGATACACCGAGACCGCCTTGAACAAGAAGGGGGTCTCCACTCCTCCCGTGCGGATACTCCTATCCCAAGACACCCAATCCGTTCACCGCACACCTTCAAAGGACATCTGACACACGTTCTCACGCATGGGCTCCAAGAGGGCAAATATGAGCTCCGAGGGGAACCCCAATGAAACAAGACTGGTGTACGCCAACGTCAACGTCACATGGTCGAAGCACTGTAGTACGTCCGCACCCCCAAGATATAATGATTCCCTTTTGCCCCAGAGACACGCGTGCTGTGAGAGCCTCTTGAGTACCGCCGTAATTTTATGTGGTTTCCTACCTGCCGCAAAGCCATAAAAGCACGTATGAGGTCGGAGCTTTGTCAACTCTTCCTCCGCAAGTATACTGAGACACGGGCTGAACCATTTAGACATAAGAGGTATGAGGCATATGTTTCTAGTGTCTTTGACTTGGGTCATTTGGGGGCTCTTCGGGGTCAGAGTGACAAGGAATTTTCTCCAGCACTGCGGCATGAGATTCTCCCGACATGCCAGGCGCTGAAAGAAGTCACGTACACGGCGCACACACGCCCAAGGAAGCAACTTGAGCATTTCGGGCGACACGTCATCGTATGACGCCGTTCCTCCCCTCTTGAATCGCGCACGAGCTCGCAACACCAGGGACATACGAATGTCAAGTGTCCGATGCGAGGCCGCTGCTGCACACCTCGCCGTCTCCAACGTCTGTGCACCAGCCCTGCGAGCCTCCTCGCATTGAACAGTGGAACATGCAAACCGTCCGATCTCCGCCTCCCACTCCTCCAAGTCCTCAAATCTATGAATACCTCCGTCCTCCTGAACCACCTCCAGTACCTGATTGTGTGTACGTTTACTCCGTCCTTCGCTGGTAGATTGAAACCTGACCAGTTCAGCCTGGTACCTTCTCTTCGCAGGTCGGTACCGCCGTCGTAACTGTTTGCAGTCCTCCCACCTCCTCTCCCTCCTGAGCTGTTTCATGTCCTCCTCCATCCTCCACAACTCCTCTGGCTTCTTGGGACGTTGGACCTGTCGCCCCTGTGCATGAGGTGTGAGACTGGCGCCGACACAATCGCCGTATTGATGAATTCGCCTTCACAAGTGGGTGATCCCACCGCCTGAACGCTCTGTGTCGTCACATCCTCCACCTCCTCCCACCCTTCCATGTCCTCCATCATAGTCTCCGTACTGTCCGTGCTGTTACCCTCCTCCTCCACCACGGTCCTAAGCTGGCGCGCCACACGAGGATGGGAACGGCTGACCAGCTCCCAGGCCCTCCTCGGGCGTCGCGGTAGCAGACCTGACAGGATTTGTCCCGTATGCGGTGAAAGCAATCCCCGCCTCCCGTGCGTAAGCCTGAGGATCCTCGGGGGCCCAGTGAACCAGATTGGAGGACCTCGTCGCCTTCGGCTTCTGTCTACGTACACCCGTCGGAGCACATGGCAATGTGGCATGTAATAGAGCATGGTCCGATACCGTAGTCAGCGCCGTCGCCCCCAGTGGTTGGATGAATTTAACCCCCACCTCCGACTGTGCACCGGGTAGCCCAATATAGTCCAAGACATTGGGAGGCCCAAGACCCGACGGGATCCAAGTAGGCCTCCTGGGTCCAAATGTGTTGGCCACCACAATCCTCCACCTCCCACAGAACTGAAGAAGCGCCTCCTTCATTGCCTCCCCTCCTCCAACGCACACGTGATGCCCCACCCGAGTACACCAGAGTTGATTCCAGCAATCCATCCCCCGTAAGTTGTAAACCGTTACAGCTCGTATCTGGCGACAGTTCCACGTTGGCACCCGTGAGCAACACCACCTTCTGGGGCCTCCTAGGGTACCTGTGGAAATACTTCTCAGGGCCTCATTCATATTATATATAATGCTCAGAAACTTCTCATTCGTAATGTCATCACTCTTCAACGTCACATCCTCAGCATTGAAACAACCGTGACCGTCATAAATCCTATGGCAACGTAACCTTTCCCCTTGAACGTAGGAAGGCGGTGCTTCCGCCAATTATCCTTATACAGGATGGCAACCTAGCGGGAGCTATCAAAAATCGTGCGAATAGCGCCTTCACCCGAACCTGACAGCTCAGAACGATGATCCCAAAGATTTTGACACTCTTGTACCCCCAGGAGTGTCACAGCCGCCCCTTTCATCGCACTAAGTATTGTGTGGATAGTAAGTTGTCCTCTCCGTCGTAGGTTCCACGAGCCTAGACGGACCTCTCGTCGTCACGGCGCTGATAGTCGCGCCTTGAGGCCTGCAGTGTCCAAATTCGGCTCATATGATTTGATCTCGTCCCGAATCGTCCATCCCTCCTGCGCATGTGGCCCTGGTTGGAATATCATCACAATCTGACCTGCATTTTGCGCCTCACTGGATGCACGCGCCCACGCATATGTTTTTCCCAGACCACTGCCCAGCTCTGAGCGCATGATGGTTCCGCTTCTACACACCTGAGCCCACACAGCATGACACTTGCCTGAAGCTTGGACATGTACAGTCTTCCATGGGGCGACCTCCACAGACACCCGAATATTGGCCGCCTCGGGCCATGGGAGTCTATTGATATCATCACTCGCAAGGGCCAGATTTGATAACATTGACCGTCTAAGTGCCCACAACTTCTGTCCTGGAGTACCTTTCTTGAAATAGATTCTCAAACGCCCATATCCGAAGTACTCCCTACCCGAGTTTGCGTTCGTCGTCGCCTCCGCGTCGATACAATTGCACCACTCTCCAGACTGAATGATGCGTTGTTTAATTGAATTGAGCAGGGTCGTCAGAACATCTTGGACCATCATCTGACGGGATCTCACCCCATGGTTGTTCCAATCAGTAACCCACCCCTTGCACTCAACAAAACTTGGCTCCCACTGAAAGTTGAAACGCCCTGGAGCTGTGCCTGACCCGTGGTTTGAGGCCGCTGGCGCTCTAGTGGACGTCTCTGATGCCGTCCCGTCGCTGCCAACAATATGATTCAGAAACTGAGTCTCCAGATCTGCTTGCCTACGTGAGAGAGCCTGCATATCCTGATTGAAAGATTGTTGGACGGCATCCACCTTACTGTCAACTGCTGTAATTGCCGTTTTGACCGTCTCGATTTTCCCATCAACAGCTGTGAGATTGGCCGCCGTCACACTCTGCGTTTGTTGTGCCATCATTCTCTGAAGCTCACTCAACAGATTTGCTGATCCCGACTGCTCCTCCTCCCTCATCCGTTTACGTTCCGTCTCAGCCTCTGCCATCGCCACATCACTCGACACCACCATTGCAACTGATGGTGGGTAACCGTAATCACTCGACTCAACACTCGGAGGCAGCCTCCCACTTTCCCACGATGGGCTGGGCTGTGTATCCCACGCCGTGATGGACGTGTACACTGAACAGGCAATGAAACGTGTACTCTGACAATCAATAAATACGAACTCCGACAATCAGTGGACGTGTACTCCCACCGTCAATGAAGTGTACTCCGACAATCAATGAGTATGTACTCCCACAGTCAATGAAAGCGTACTCCGACAATCAATGAAGCGCGTACTGCAACCGTCAATGAAGCGCGTACCCCAACAATCAATGAAAGAAAACAATGCGCAGCCTCTCAGTGAACAGTCAATGATTGTGTACACCGACCACAATGAATGCAAACTCCGACAATCAATGATGTGTACTACGACAATCAATGAACGTGCACTCCGTCAATCAATGAAGCGTGTACTCTGACAATCACTGAAGTGTGTAGTCTGACAATCAATGAATCTGCTCGCCGACAATCAATGAGCACGTACGATACACAGGCCGTGTACGGTAATGAGAACAAAAACAGAGCAGCACGGCACAATGCCGCTCGAGACGAGAGCCCCAACGGGAGCCCCCAGCCGCCAGACCCCTGAGGAGGGAGGCAACCAGGTTACCGCCGGGACCCTCGTAGAGCTCTGGAATCGCGGAATCCTGTTTAGATCCGACGAGTAAGTTCGAGCTGTCATGTGCTTAGAAAATCGATCATTCGAAAAATGCACTTCTACAGCCCATTGTTCCTCCACGTTTTTTGATAATAATATTCCACCTACGAACCTGAAAATTCGAAAGGCAGACGCGGCACAACCCACTCTACGTTACAAAAATGGTGGTTTCCAAAACGAATTTCAACATCTCTCGGAACTGGGCGCCGGCGGTAAACCGTTAACCTTTCTTACCGCCGGGAGACTCGTAGAGCTTCCTTTCCATATATATATTATGTCCAAAGAAGTAGCAGGGGACGAATATTTGTTTCAGTCCGAGCGTTGATAGCAGACTGATCTCAGGCGTCTAGATACTATTGCCGCTGATAATTCCCTTCCTATTGTTGCGCTGAACAGATCCAGCCAAGCGGCGCCTCATGATTTCCATCTCATTTATGTGCCAAAGAGTTCTCAAGTTAGGTGAAGATCGGTCCAATACGAATAATTTTGCGACCTAGCTCGAGTCGCAGACTGAGTTCAGAGCTCTGGATGCTTCAGACGAACGCGCCTGTGATTCTGATGCGTACAAGCTCGGTAGCTATGCTTAAGCTCGAGTTAAGTACAGAACACCGACAGCGCCTGTTTAGAGAACTCGAAGAATGCAAATGGTTTCGCGGACCTGGCTCGAGAAGCAGACCTAGTTCAGACCTCTCCACGCAACAGACAAGCGCGCCTGATGATTCTGAATCGGTTTCTGTGAGTACCAGCTCTAAAGCGTTTCTACAGCCCGAATTAAGTACTGAAAGCCGACAGCACCTGTCAAGATGACTCGAAGAATACGAATAGTTTCGCGGACCTAGATCGAGTAGCAGACCGAGTTCAAACCTCTAGATGTAACTGACGAGCGCGCCTGATGATTCTGAATCGGTTACGTATGCGTATCAACTCTGTAGCTCCTCTTCAGCACGAATTAAACACCGCAAATCAACAGCATCTGTCAACAATTTCGTAGAATACGAATAGTTGCGCGACCTAGCTCGAGTAGTAGACGAGTTCAGATCTCTAGATGCTAGAGACAGACGCGCCTGATGATTATGAATCCGTTTCTGTGAACACCAGCTCTGTAGCTCTCCTACAGCCCGAGTTAAGTAAAGAAAACCGACAGCACCTGTCAAGATGACTCGAATAATCAAATAGGTTCGCGGACCTAGCTCGATTAGCAGATTAAAACCAGACCTCTAGATGTAACTGACGAACGCGCCTGATGATTCTGAATCGGTTATGTATGCGCATCAGCTCTGTAGCTCCTCTACAGCTCGAATTAAACACCGAAGTCGCCAGCATCCGCCAACGAATGAGCTCTGTAGGTGTCCTACAGCTCGAGTTAAGTACAGGAAACCGACAGCACCTATTCAGATGACTCGAATAATACGAATAGTTTCGCGGACCTAGCTCGGGTAGCAGACCGAGTTCATACCTCTGGATGCAACAGACGAACGCGCCTGATCCAGAATCATCAGGCGCGTTCATCTGTTGCATCTAGAGGTCTGAACTCGGTCTCCTACTCGAGCTATGCCCACGAACCTATTCGTACTATTCGAGTCATCTTGACAGATGCTGTCGGTTTTCTGGACTTAACTCGAGCTGTAGGAGAGCTGCAGAACTGATACTTACAGAACCCATTCGAAATCATCAGGCGCGTTCATCTATGGCATCTAAAGGCCTGAACTCGGTCTGCTACTCGAGCTAGGTCCGTGAACCTATTCGTATTATTCGAGTCATCTTGATAGATGCTGTCGAATTTCTGCACTTAACTCGAAATGTGGGAGGGCCACAGAGCTCGCACGCACATCAATCGATTCAGCATCATCAGGCGCGTGCGTCTGTTGCATCTTGAGCTCTGAACTCAGTATTGTATCCGAGATTGCTATCAGCTTCGGCTGAAAAACTATTCGTTCTCTGCCAATTCTTTGGACATAATACATGACAAGGAAGCTCTACGAGTCCCCCGGCGGTAAGAAAGGTTGACGGATTACCGCGGGCGCCCAGTTCGCCAACCCGGCCCGGGCAGACAATGCGATGACCTGGGGTGGGTTTTTCGAATATAACTCGTAGAGCTTCCCGTAGCTAGTTGCTGGAAGCTTAAGAATAATTCCGGGGCGCTGGAGAGCTAGTTGGCAAGAAAAATCATCTCGACGGACCTTTTGCTGACTTTTGGTCAGTTGAAAATTTTGTTCTCGAAATTCAACAACTCGTTTGAGCTCTAATATTTTTTCCCAACATATTCGATCTTATTCCCGCTCGCCATCTTGATCTCAGCTCGATCGGGTACCTTTTACTGCCAAACAGCGTTGCGGCGGGATCGGCCGTTTCGAATCATCTTGACACGCGTTGACGGTTTTTCAAGCTATAGAGCAGCTACAGAGCTGATACTTACAGAAACCAATTCAGAATCATCAGGCGCGTTCGTCAGTTGCATCTAGAGGTCTGAACCCGGTCTGCTACTCGAGCTAGGTCCGCAAAACTATTTGATTATTCGAGTCATCTTGACAGGTCCGGTCGGTTTTCTGCACTTAACTCGGGCTGTAGGAGAGCTACAGAGCTGGTATTCACAGAAACCGATTGATAATTATCAGGCGCGTCTAGGGATCTGAACTCGGTCTACTACTCGAGCTAGCTCGCGAAACTATTCGTATTCTACGAATGATGATTCTAAGAGGGTTTCTGTTAATGTCAGGTCTGTAGCTGTCCTATAGCTCGACTTATGTTCAGAAAACCGCCACCGCGTGTCAAGATGGCCCGAAACGGCCGATCCCGCCGCAGTGCTTTTTGGCAGAAATATCTACCCGATCGATCTGAGATTAGACGGCGGGCGGAGATAAGACCGAATACCACGGGGAAAAAAAATCAAACGAATTGTTAAATTCGAAAACAAAACCTTCAACCGACCAAAGTCAGCAAAAGGTCCGTCGAGATTTTCCTTGCCAACTAGCTCCCCAGCGCCCCGGAATTACTGGGAGCCGGCGGTAAACCGTCAACCAGGTTAACGCCGGGAGCCTCGTAGAGCTCTTTCCCTTCGGCGGTGCTCGGAACACATTGAAAGAGCTTCATCAAGCGTTAGCTGTTGATAATTAAAAACTGGGCGCCGGCAGTAAACCGTCAACCTTTCTTACCGCCGGGGGACTCGTAGAGATTCCTGACCATATATTATGTCAAAAAAAGAACGAATAGTTTTTCAGCCCGAGCTATTTCAGACTCGATGCAACAGCCGAACGCCCCTGATGCTTCTGGATCGTTTTCTGTGCGTACCAGCTCTGTAGCTCTTCTACAGCCCGAGTTCAATACAGAAAAGGGGCAACATCTGTCAAGGTGACTTGAAGAATACGAATAGTTTTACGGACCGAGCACGAGTAGTAAACCAAGTTCAGACCTCTGGATGCAACAGACGAACGCGCATGATGATTTCGGATCACTTCTGTGCGCATCAGCTCTGTAGCTCTCCTACAGCCCGAGTTACGTGTGAAAATCGACACCACCTCTCAAGATGACTCGAACAATACGAACAGCTTCGCGGACCTAGCTCGAGCAGCAGACCGAGTTCAGACCTCTAGATTCAACAGACAAACGCGCCTCATCATTCTGAATCGGTTTCTGTGCGCATCAGCTCTGTAGCTTCCCTAGACCTATAGTTAATGACAGAAAACCGACAGTCCCTGTTGAGATGACTCGAGCGATACGAATAGTTTTGCAGACCTGGCTCGAGTAGCAGACCGATTTCAGACCTCTGCATGCGACAGACGCACGCGCCTGATGTCTGAGAATCGGTTTCTGTGATTACCAGCCCTGTAGCTCCCCTACAGCCCGAGTTAAGCGCAGAAAACCAACAGCACCTCTCCAGATGACTCGAACAAAACGAATAGCTTCGCGGACCTAGCTCGAGCAGCAGACCGAGTTCAGACCTCTGGATTCAATAGACAAGCGCGCCTCATCATTCTGAATCCGTTTCTGTAAGTATCAGCTCTGCAACTGTCCTATAGCTCGAGTTAAGTACCAAAAACCGACAACGCCTGTCGAGATGACTCGAAACGGCCGATCCCGCTGGCCTGCTTTCTGGCAGTAAAAACTACCCGATCGAGCTGAGATCAAGACGGCGAGTGGGAATAAGATCGAATACTACGGGAAAAAAAGAGCTAAAACGAACTAAGGAATTTCGAGAACAAAATTTTCAACCGACCAAAAGTCACCAAAAGGTCCGTCGAGATTTTTCTTGCCAACTAGCTCTCCAGCGCTCCAGCATTACTCTTAAGCTTCCAGCAACTAGCTAAGGGAAGCTCTACGAGCTACTCGAGAAATTTTATTTCTGCGCAATGTCGGTTCCCCTTGTGTTTTGGTAGATATAATGCAGCTAGAGCCCTAAGAATTGCACCATCGAGCGCGCCATGAAGAGAATAAAAATCTGGACTGGGAGCCGGCGGTAAACCGTCAACCAGGTTACCGCCGGAAGCCTCGTAGAGCTCTTTCCTCGCGCGGCACTGCGCGGAACACATGCAAAGAGGTTCATCACGCGAAAGCCAAAAAACCCGAAAATACATTCTTCAGGTTTTCAGCGAAAGCCGGTTCCGCTGAGTGTTTTGATAGTAAAACTGCAGCTACGGACCGAAGAATTTCGCTGGCAGACGCGGCGCAACCCACTACAGGTGCGAAAAATAACGTTTCTCGAATGTTGAAATATCTCAATCTTCGCCCAACCGGCCCAAAGTTGACATATTGTCCGTCGGGGCTGGGTCGGCCAACTAGCTGCACCCCGCACCGGAATTCCTCTAGCTCATCGATGCCAAAGAGCTCTACGAGGTACATTGCATCAATCGACCTGAGAATTAGACTGGCAGACGTACGTCAAGATATGTTTTCTTCTGATTTCTGTGCGGGAAATCTCTCAAGCTCATCTGCGAGTTAAGTGAAAAAAACAAAAAAAAAAAAAAAAAAAAAAAAAAAAAAAAAAAAAAAAAACATCAGTTCGAAAAGAATCGATCGGATACGAATAGTTTTCCGGACCTAGCTCGAGTAGCAGACTCTTGCTTCAGCCGAAAGCCCCTGATGATTCTGAATCGGTTTCTGTGCGCAACAGCTCGCTAGCTTTCCTACAGCTCTTGAGTACAGAATACAGACAGCGCCTGTAAAGAGAACGTAAGAAATACGAATAGTTTCGTGAACCCAGCTCGAATAGCAGACCGAGTTCAGACTTCTCGATGCAACAGACAAACGCGTCTGATCATACTGAATCGATTTATGTGCATTTCAGCTCTGTCGATCCTCTGAATCTTGAGTTTTGTACATAATACCGACAGCACTGATGAAAAGGACTCAGAGAATACAAATAGTTTGGTTAAGACCTCTGGATGTAACATACGAACGCGCCTGATGATTCTGAATTCGCTGTTGTAGGTAACAGCTCTGAGGCTCTCCTGAACCTCGAGTCAAGTACAGGCGTGTCAAGATAATTCAGAACACACTTCGTTCCGTCAAGTGTTTTGATAGTATTGTACCTACGGACGTGAGTATTTCACAGGGAGACGCAGCATAACCCACTACACATGAAAAAAATCTGGTTTCTCAAAATGAACTGCGAAACTGGAACCGGCGGCAAACCGTCCCAGGTTACCGCCAGGGCCCTCGTAGAGCTCTTTTCTCACACGGCGCTCCTCGGTTGACATGTAGAAAGCATCTGGCAAGACCTGAAACTCGAAAAAACATGTTTTTCTCTATTTATCCAACCTCGGTTCCCCCAAGTGTTTCGATAGTGATACTGCAGCTACGGACCTGAGAATTTCACTGGCAGACGCTAGACAACCCACTGCAGGTGCGAAAAATCTGGTTCCTTAAAATGAACTGTCAAATATCCTTCGAATCTTCGCAAAACCGACCCAAAGTATGGCAACTTCTTTTCTGGTCCAATCGACCAACTAGCTCACCCTGCGCCGGAATTCCTCTGGCTCATCGATAACGAAGAGCTAGCTCTACGAGGGATCTCAAATCTCAGTAAAACCGACCCCAAGTCACATTGTCTCTTAAAGGCGGATCGGTGGCTCCACCCTGCGACAGAATTCCTCTTACCTCGTAGAGCTCTTCGGCAGAGCTAAAAAGAATTCGGGCGCGGGGTGAAGCAAGTTGGCCAGCCCGACTGAAAGAGAGGATGTAGTAACAGACACACAGACACACGGACACACATACACACAGACACAGAGACACGAAGGCGCCCGCCTCCGCCCGCGCCCGCGCCCGGCCTGCGCCCTCGCGTCCAATGTTTGGATTTGTTTGGCTCTCGCTTTAGACTGGGATCTGGCGGTAAGCCGTCAACCACGCAACCGCCGGGAGCCTCGTAGAGCTCTGTTCTCGGTCGGCGCTGGTCGGACATTCCGTCGATAAATTCTTCCAGACGAAGCCAGACCTCAGATCAGCATGAAAAATTGAAAATGGGAGCCGGCGGTAAACCGTCAACCAGGTTTTTTGCGGACTTTGCGGTCGACTGCGCAGGCTTTCCAGCCTAGTCGGAAGCAAGGAAGCGGACGTATAGGGAGCAGGCGAAGCCTCACCGATCCTGACGATCAGGAAGACGACAGCCTAAGCTCTTATGAGTGTGTGAAGTGAAGCACGCACGCACGACACGCACAAGCATGGCATGAGCGAGCAGCGAACACCTAATCACATCAACTCAAATCCGAAATACGCTTGTACAACCCGCGGTATGACAAGAGTCTTCTGCTCAACGTCAAATGTGAAGTGATGAATTCATGAGATCAAATACTATCGAACCTCTTTGAGGCAACAACACGTCTCAATCAACAGGCACGTCGGAACGATCAAGAAAATGAATGAAACCTGTCTCTGAATCCGTCTCACTGAACAAGCACGTGACACAATACAAGCAAGCAACAAAGAGAGGCGGCGGCAGGCAGCATATACTCAGGTATAATGTATAGCATTAGCAGGCCTCGTAAACACAGGCCTCGTAGACGCAGCACTCGCCACAGAACCTGCTCGCGACAGTCCCTGAAGTCTCTGGACGAAGGCCTCAAGTTGATTTTGTCTAGCCTCCAAGCTTCTGTACCTTGTGTCCAAGCTGGAAATTGCGACACCCTGCTTCTGTACCTGGGTCTGAACATTATCGATTTTACTACCCTGAACTACTATGGCGTCCTGGATCCTCTCAGTATTGTCATCCATCTTATGCATCGTCTGAAGTAGTAAGCACTTCATGTCATCCTGCCTTCGCTGTTCTACACCGAAAGTTGCATACCAGTGGCCACGAATAGCTTCATCCCACTCCTCTTCTGTCGCAAAACCGAAAGCTGCATACTCTTGTCCTCGTATGTTGGCGCCTTTAGAGCTCTTGGCCGGCTTGGCGCTGCGATGATATCGTTGGCCTTTGCCTCTGCCTTTGCGGTGACCTCGTACAGGATTCGATACCTCATTGAGCGTGACGGGACGATTCAGACACCCCTGGGACGCTCCTGACAAGGCGCGGCTATCAGAATCAGACTGCACGTTCGGAGAAGACTCCTCACTCGAGGGTGCCTCCAGCTCCTCCTCCGCCGCCAGAGTCACTTTCCCAAGAAGAACTCCTGAAGCTCCTCCCTCCATCCCAACGACACTCTCTGTCTGACAGCCGACTTCACAATGAAAGTCCGCAACATCCGTACTAGAAGAAGCCTGCACTCCAATATCTACCGAAGAGACCCGCGGGCAAACCACCATCATCTGAGAGAACTGATCGCCTCCGAATCCCTGACCAACCTCCTCCCGCATCAAACTGCAAGAAAGATGCTCCGAGGGTGTCGTAACGGCAGCTTGCTCCACCTCCAAATGATTATACCGAGTCTGCAATCCAACATCAAACACGGAATCCGCAGCCAGCCAGCAGTCAACCAGGTTACCGCCGGCACCCTCGTAGAGCTCTGAATAGACCAAGTCGGTTCCGAGATAACAGCAGAAAGAACGCTTCTCAATACCAGCTTGAAAAATAATGAATGTTGTTTTCGGTCGTACACAATGTTGGTTCCCCCTAGTCTTTGGATCGAAATAATGCAGCTAGGGCCCTGAGGATTGCATCATCGAAAGCGCCATGATTCACTGCATAGAATAAAGATTCGAAATTGCAAAACGAACTGGGCGCCGGCGGTAAACCGTCAACCTTTCTTACCGCCGGGGGACTCGTAGAGCTTCCTGACTATGCATTATGTCTAAAGAAATAGCAGAATAGATTTTCAGCCCGGACTGCTAGCAGACTGAACTCAGGCGTCTAGTGTCATCCAATTGCTGTGCTCAGCACTTCTATCTCATCTGCAGCGTGCAGAAAATACCATTAGGGAGAACTTCACGCCTCATGATTTCCTTCTAATTTTTCGGCCGCTCGAGTTCAGCTAGGCAATTCACTATCATTTGGAAGAAAATATCATCGAATACGAATGATTTTGTGACCCTAGCTCGGGTAGCTGACCGAGTTCAGAACTCTCGACGCAACAGACGAACGCTCCTGATTCTCGATCGGTTTCTGTACGTACCAGCTCTGTAGCTCTCCTACAGCCCGAGTTCATACAGGAAATGGACAACATCTGTCAAGATGACTCGAAGAATACGAGCAAACCCAGTTCGGACCCAGACGAACGCGCATGATGATTTCGAATCAGCTTCTGCTCTGGAGCTGTCCTACAGCCCGAGTTACGCGCGAAAACAAGCAGCACCTCTCAAGATGACTCGAACGATACGAGTAGTTACGCTGACCTAGTACCAGACCGAGTTCAGACCTCTGAATAACAGACCAACGCGCCTGATCTGCATCGTTTTCTGTGCGCATCAACTCTGTAGCAGCCCTATAGCTCGAGTTAAGTACAGTCCCTGTCGAGATGACTCGAGGAATACGAATAGTTCTGCAAAGCCAGCTCGAGTAGCAGACCGAGTTCAGACCTCTGCATGCGACAGGAGAACGCGCCTGATGTTCCCGAATCGGTTTCTGTGATTAACAGCCCTGTATCTGCCCGAGAGCCCGAGTTAAGTACAGAAAACCGAGAGCACCGGAGAGTAAGCGGGACACAAACCGGAACTGGGAACCGACGGACCGTCAATCTGGTTTTTTTGAGTTTGAGTCAGGGCGCGGACAGCTGTGACAGATGAGCCCTAAGACTCCCAAACGGAGCACAGGGTAGCTAGAGAAGGCATCTCTTATCATCACACTGCCGAGCCACTGAGGCATAGGCATCGGAATAGTATGCAGGAACAAGGAAAAGGATGCAGCACGACATGTGAAATTGCAAAGGTGTAGGAACAGGTTAGAGAAGAAAGAGGCTACCCAAAACGTGTTCCACGGCCATACAGAGCCGTCAATGGAGGCACATCCCTCCACAGAGCGCCCTCCGTCGAAGAATCCACGGAGGCCGTCTAGTTTTTGTTGTACTCGCATATACAATAAGAGAGGCATGAACATAGCTTCGTGCAATACGGTGCACGAGCATCGTATGTAAATAAGAGAGCTGCTCGCCAATTTCGTACAGCTCTTTTCTTGCACAACGATGCTCGGAACACATGAGATAAGCTTCTGGAGCGAGAAACGAAGAACTCGAAAAAAAAAAAACATTTTTCTATTTTTATCCAACGCTCGCTTCTCCAAGTTTTCATAATACTGTACCTACGGACCAAGAATTTCACTAGCAGACGCGGCATAACCCACTACAAATGCGAAAAAACTGGTTTCTGAAAATGAATAGTCAAATATCTTCCATGTCTCAGCAAAACCGACCCGAAGTCACCATATTGTCTCTTTTGGTCGGTCGGCGAACTAGCTCCACCCGCGCCGCATCTTGGCACGTCCAAAATGTGCGTCGGCAGTGAACGTCAACCTGGTCACCGCCGGCAAACTCTTGCACGCGTAAGAGTGAAGGGAAAGCTTCTGGAAGCATTTCTCGAAAAAACAGAAAACATATTTTTTTCATGTCGACATAAAGATGTTCCCCCAAGCGTTTTCACAGTAAAACTGCACCTAGGGAGCTCATATCGAGACGCAGAGACGCTCATAGTCGCCCAGAGGTGCGCAAAAACTGCTTTATTACAATAGATAGTCAAATATCTTCAAATATTCGCAAAATCACCCAAAAGTTGTCACTTTGTTCGCCCCGGCCGGGTGGGCCACTAGCTTCACCTCGCGCCGGAATTCCTCTAGCTCATCGATGACGAAGAGCACTACAAGATACTAGGATGGCAAAGGGACACGGGAAGAGCAAGGAGGACACAAACCGGAACTGAGAACCGGCGGTAAGCTGTTTCCGGAGAGCTCGCTGAGAGCTAAAGGGTTTAAGACTTGGAACCGGTAGTAAACCGTCAACCAGACTGCCACCGGGAGCCTCGTAGAGCTCATTTCGTGCACGGCGATCGTCGGAACACATGAAGAAAACTTCTGGAGCGAGAAACAAAAAACTCGAAAAATTACGTTTTTCTGTTTTTATCCAACGTCAGTTCCTCCAAGTGTTTTGAAAGGAATACTGCACCTACGGACCTGATAATTTCACTGGCAGACGCGGCATAACCCACTGCAGCTGCGAAAAATCTAGTTTCTCAAAATGAATTGTCAAATATCTTTCAAATCTTAGAAAAACCGACCCGAGGTCACCAGATTGTCTCTTAACGTCGGGTCGACAGCTAGCTCCACCCCGCGCCGGAATTCCTCTACCTCATCAACTGGGCGCCGGCGGTAAACCGTCAACCTTCCTTGCCGCCGGGGGACTCGTAGAGCTTCCTGACAATATACAATGTAGAAAAAATGAAGAGAACGAACAGTTTCTCAGCCCAAGCGATTTCAGACCTCTCGATGCAACAGCCGAACGCCCCCGATGCTTCTGGATTGTCTTCTTTTCGAGCTCTGTAGCTCTCCTACAGTCCGAGTTACGTGCGTCAATCGACAGCACCTCTCAAGATGACTTTAACAAAACGAATAGTTTGACAACCCAGCTCGAGTATCAAACCGAGTTCAGACCTCTGAATGCGACAGGCGGATGCGTCTGATGTCTGCGAATCGACTCCTGTGATTACCAGCCCTGCAGCCCCCCTACAGCCCGAGGTAAGTGCAGAAAACCGACAAGACCTCTCAGGATGACTCGAACAATACAATAGTTTCGCGGACCTAGTTCGGGCAGAAGACCAAGTTCCGAGCTCTGGATTCGACAGGCGGACGCGCCTGATGTCTTCAAATCGATTCCTGTGACCACCAGCACTGTAGCCCCCCCCCCCAGCCCGAGTTGAGTGCAGAAAACCGAAAGCACTTCTCAAGGTGACTCGAACAATACGAATAGTTTTGCGGTTCTAGATCGGGCAGCAGACAGAGTTCAGAGCTCTGGATTCAACAGACAAATGCGACTGATGATTCTCAATCGTTTTCTGTAAGTATCAGCTCTGTAGCTGTTATATAGCTCGAGTTAAGTACAGAAAACCGAGAGCGTCTGTCAAGATGACTCGAATAATACGAATAGGTTTGCGGACCTAGCACGGCTAGCAGACCGAGTTCAGACCTCTAGATTCAACAGGCGAACGCGCCTGATCATTCTGAATCGATTAGCTGTGCTTAGCAGCTCTGTAGCTAGCCTAAAGCTCGAGTTTGGTGTTTGGTCAGGCTACACAGGGCGCGTGCGCCCAAGCCTAAGGGCTAGAGCCAGTTAAATCCGCCTCCTCCGCTTTGCAGAGGAAATTTCTTGAACGATGTGCTCCACACCTGTGCACAGGCGCTCGGCAGCAGATAATTCTGCCTCCGTCACGGTGGCTCCTACATCAAAATGTAGGCTTCTGAGCTCACGAGTGTCCACGGGCCATTCTCTGGAGCAACTTCAATCCAGTGACCTCCTGCGGCACCCTCACTGCTCACTCCACCATCCCAGCATCCTCTGATGTACTTGATGTTTGTCCTATTCTGTTTGATGTAGTCGTGCTTGTAAATTCTGTAACAGTTTCCTTCTCTCGCATGGTGTGTAAGCTCATCAGCATAGGCATTGGCTTCCCTATAGATATGTTTCCAGAAACCCCTTCCGTACGTCGGGCATCGTATGTTGTGTTGTTCACTCACGTCATACATGATATTTTGTATCCTGGCGATCCGTTTGGCATACCCACTGTTGTCACAAGCCCAGACTCCCCTCAGCCATTGTACGACCGTCCTACTGTCACCGCACATGTCAACAGCAATCCCTTCCATCCCAGGATCCCATATCGTAGTTTGTTCATCTATAACTGCAAGACGTCGGGCCAACTCGTCATCTGTCGGTGTCTTCGCAAACCCTCCCATCCTCCTCTCCTTACTCCTCCTCACAAACATATCCTGCACCTTGGGTATCTGTGATATGCGTTCCACAAACTCCTCCCAATCCGTCGGTACAACGCACGTGTCGTGCCATAGAAGAGACCTCCATTTTTCAAAGGGTGCATGCCAGCTGCTCGCCACGATTCGTGGTCTGCCTCTGAGCCGTCTCGTCCCCTCCCTCGACATCGTCCGACTTACTGCCGCCAGCATTTCATCCCTCTGTACCGTCCACTCCCCCGACGCGTGCAACATGGAGCGCAGCGTCTGCTGCCACGATTTGCTATACACAGTGGACGGCATGTGGCACTTATATTGGGATACCTCCACGGCAAATTCAAAGTTATATCTCACAACTTTCTCCACCAACGTTTTGAACCCCCCCTCTTTGAACATCTCCCTGGATCTATTGGTACTGCGATCCCTGAACTCCTCCCACGTTTCCGTATCTTTTCTGCGTAATCCTCGCATTGTGTTTAGACATCTTCGTTCAAAGCTTCTCAATATGTTAAGCACATGTTCATTACAGCTCCACCCCACACATCCATGGCATATAATCTGTTGAACTCTGCTCTGGTACCGTCTGAATTTTTCCCTCATGCTCACCGCGCGTGATCGATAGAGTTTAATATCAGCATAGAAACACCGCCTGCCTGCATCAATACGGTGCCGCACTGCACGGAAATCCCTCGGGTTCGTCACAAATTTAACTCCCAGTATGTCACGCTCACTTTTTCTCGGCAGAACCACCGCCTCACGCAATTGATAGGGTAGGCTGGGGTCTCCAGCCCGCGCACAAATATCATGTCCCAGTTCACATACTAATGATTGTGGCCCCTGGTTCTGTCTCAGCCCAAAAACCAGATACTCCAG